AGAGAAGAAGCAACATCAGAAGAAGAAGAAACATCAGAAGAGAAAGAAGCAACACCAGAAGAGGAAGAAGCAACACCAGAAGAGGAAGAAACATCAGAAGAGGAAGAAGCAACACCAGAAGAGGAAGAAACATCAGAAGAGAAAGAAGCAACACCAGAAGAGGAAGAAGCAACACCAGAAGAGGAAGAAACATCAGAAGAGGAAGAAGCAACACCAGAAGAGGAAGAAACATCAGAAGAGGAAGAAGCAGCAACAGAAGAGGAAGAAGAAACATCAGAAGAGGAAGAAGCAACATCAGAAGAGGAAGAAGCAACATCAGAAGAGGAAGAAGCAACACCAGAAGAGGAAGAAGCAACATCAAAAGAGGAAGAAGCAACATCAGAAGAGGAAGAAGCAACACCAGAAGAGGAAGAAGCAACATCAGAAGAGGAAGAAGCAACATCAGAAGAGGAAGAAGCAACATCAGAAGAGGGAGAAGCTGCAACAGAAAATGAAGAAACAACATCAGAAGAGGAAGAAGCAATATCAGAGGAGGAAGCAACATCAGAAGAGGAAGAAGCAATATCAGAAGAGGAAGAAGCAATATCAGAAGAGGAAGAAGCAACATAAGTGGAGGAAGAAGCAACATCAGAGAAGGAAGAAGCAACATCAGAAGAGGAAGAAGCAACATCAGAAGAGGAAGAAGCAACATCAGAAGAGGAAGATGCAACATTAGAAGAGGAAGAGGCAACATCAGAAGAGGAAAAAGCAACATCAGAAGAGGAAGAGGCAACATCAGAAGAGGAAGAAGCAACATCAGAAGAGGAAGAGGCAACATCAGAAGAGGAAGAGGCAACATCAGAAGAGGAAGAAGCAACATCAGAAGAGGAAGAGGCAACATCAGAAGAGGAAGAAGCAACATCAAAAGAGGAAGAAGCAATATCAGAGGAGGAAGAGGCAACATCAGAAGAGGAAGAAACAGCAACAGAAAATAAAGAACCAAAAGCAGACGAGGCAACAGCAGAAAAAAAGGGAAAACAGTATTACAAACACACAACAGGAAGAGAAGACAATAACGATGACTCTGGACAATAAGAATGAGCCAGATAACAGAAACTGATAACGCCTGGACCTACACATTACAAGGCCGGGGGGAGGGGGGGGGGAGTTGTGAGAAGACACGGAATGTGTGTAATTCTGGACAATTACATTATCAAATGTGGAGCAAGAATTACATTATGTGGAATTCTGGAGGTCACAATGTTAGCAGAGGAGAGGGGAAGTGTGTTGGTGAGGCGGGGTGGGGCAGGTGGGTCATGGAGGAATGGGTGGGGCTGGTGGGTCATGGAGGAATGGGTGGGGCTGGTGGGTCATGGAGGAATGGGTGGGCTGGTGGGTCATGGAGGAATGGGTGGGGCTGGTGGGTCAAGGAGGAATGAGTGGAGCAGGTGGGTCAAGGAGGAATGAGTGGAGCAGGTGGGTCAAGGAGGAATGGTGGGGCTGGTGGGTCAAGGAGGAATGAGTGGAGCAGGTGGGTCAAGGAGGAATGAGTGGAGCAGGTGGATCAAGGAGGAATGAGTGGAGCAGGTGGGTCAAGGAGGAATGAGTGGAGCAGGTGGGTCAAGGAGGAATGAGTGGAGCAGGTGGGTCAAGGAGGAATGGGTGGGGCTGGTGGGTCAAGGAGGAATGAGTGGAGCAGGTGGGTCAAGGAGGAATAGTGAGAGTGGTCAAGAGATGAGGGGCAGGTGGGTCAAGGAGGAATGAGTGGAGCAGGTGGGTCAAGGAGGAATGGGTGGGGCTGGTGGGTCAAGGAGGAATGAGTGGAGCAGGTGGGTCAAGGAGGAATGAGTGGAGCAGGTGGGTCAAGGAGGAATGAGTGGAGCAGGTGGGTCAAGGAGGAATGAGTGGAGCAGGTGGGTCAAGGAGGAATGAGTGGAGCAGGTGGGTCAAGGAGGAATGAGTGGAGCAGGTGGGTCAAGGAGGAATGGGTGGGGCAGGTGGGTCAAGGAGGAATGAGTGGAGCAGGTGGGTCAAGGAGGAATGAGTGGAGCAGGTGGGTCAAGGAGGAATGGGTGGGGCAGGTGGGTCATGGAGGTATGGGTGGGGCAGGTGGGTTAAATCGGGAAAAAAAGGTGAAGAATGACTTCAAACCTGACCCTCAGTGGTAGTGGTGATGCTGTTCATGGGTGGAAGTGGTAATGTTGGTGGTGATGGTAGTTGGGTGGCAGTGTTAACAGTGGCAAGTGGTGGTGGAAATAGTAGAGATGACAAGTGGTGGTGAAGGTGGTTAAGTGGTGATGGTGTTATATGGGTGGTGGTATTATACGGGGTGTTTGGTGGTGTTAGTGGCGTCTTACGTAGTGTGCCAGTGTAGATGGCGTTAATGCAGTTGGTGGTAATGGTGGTAGATGACCACGATATGCGTGATTGTATGTTATGATGATGGTAGTGGTGGTGGTGGTGACGACAGCAGGACAGCAATTGCCACGGTGTTGAGGAAGGCCGAGTCAGACAATCCCCTGAGCTGGGAGAGTTACCACCACGATAATCACGGCTAATGTAACACTCTACCTCTGTAAATCCAACTGTTATTGTACCTCGCCATGACAGTAGGTGACCAGCACCCTCCCCCACCTCACAATAAAACACTAACTACGTAGGTAAACACAAAACTAAACCAGAATACGCGGTGTTAAGAGCCTAGAGGTCAACTGGTTTTTTATTTTTCAATAATTCACATATTTGTAAAAAAATCATACGAGAAGTACAATAAAAAGATTAGGTATTTTGATTAAAATAATGGACTTTTGGTCAAAATATTTTAATTTTCAGTGGTCAGCAGAACATAGTCCGAAAAGAGACTTAGCTCATCCTTAGTAATGTAAATGTTAATAATAATACTGATGTGATAAATAACAAATACATGCGTGAAGATTTCTCCACGTGACCTGAATAACCCACACGGGTTTAGCGCCTCTGAATATGGAATGTTTACATGGGAAAGGATATTTTTAATTGCCCGAGTTTGCACGTGTTGAGCTCTGGCTCTCGGTCCAGCCCTTGTATTCAGTGGTCTAACACTCGTGTATATGACGGGGCGTTTCAGATGCTATGGTTGTGATTAATGATCCTTTCGAACCTTATTGGGCGACGTTTCTGGCTAGACCTGATGGATAACTAGGGTGAAATGTCGTCCAGTGAAAAGGCTGACTGCAACGTGTTTGTTATATCCTGGAAAGTTACTGCGATCCCCACCTGGAGTTGCTAAACAGGTGACCTTAACCTCGAGTGTGACCAGCACAGGGGCGTCCAACATGCCGGCCCACGGAGCCGATCTCAACCCATCTGAACAATAAAGATGGCAGTGCCTCACCACCTCCCCGTTATCTCCCCAACTTTTGTTGTATTAGCGATACAAAATCTCGGATATCTTTATTCATGAAGATGTTTCGCCAACCGGTGGCTTTACCTCACCGCTATCAATAAAAAATTTATGTAGTCTACAAACACATGGATCCCTGGTTATGTAGTTTAACTACCGGTAAAACTAGGACGCCCTTGTTCTAGCCTCTACTCTTCTCAAGGTAAGTTACTTGACGCTGATGAGAGGCTCTTAATCTAGGGAATAGTAGGACTTTATCTCCCATTCCTTAGACCGAACCTGACTGCCTTCCACTCCCCCAGGAGCTGTATGATCCCAATGAGTTTCGTGTTTGTCCTTCCCCAAACAAAATAATAATAATAATAATAATAATAATAATAATAATAATAATAATAATAATAATAATAATAATGGAGCCTGTACTTGTCTTCTGGTTCACTTTAATTCTCTACTCTCCTGGTGTTGAAGATATATGGAATCTTAACATCTCTATACACAATGTGAGTGTCCATCTCTTTCGTCCCGTACTTCATGGTTTGTCTTACAGAAATAACCCGCACGTAGGAGAATAAATTTATGACGACTTTTCGGTCGGACTTAGACCATTAGCTAGCGTGACAAGTTAATAGTCCAAGTGGGACCGAAACGTCGTCATAAGTTTCATTCTCCTATGCGCGGGTTACATGCGTATTGTTCCAGCCACGGTATTGTGCCATTTTATTCTCTAACTTGTCTTCGTTCACCTTGTAATGTTGCTGAGTATTCAGCGTCGTGATGTGCAAGTCATCTATCACTGTTTAAAAAAGTCCTTTCCGTTGACTTTTCTAAAAAAAAAAAAAAAAAAGTGAATTCTTTAAAAATTTTGAGAAAACGTAAAAATATATTTACCGTCTTTCAAATGTTTAGTATTTCTCTTGCCGTGTTTTTAACTTAGCGACTGGCTTAGGGCTTGTCATTCTTTCCTCAGTAATTGTGGTTGTATTGTCCGGTAGCGTAGCATGTGTGAAATACATTATTATTATTTGTACCTACAGGAACAGAATTTAGTAGATGTCACGTCCACAGTGTTACAATGTCAACATGTCCTGAGTGCAGCCGTCAACACTGAACAGTACTCTAAACAGAGAGCACAAGCAAGCGAAAAGTGTCACCATTGTCATTATTCCCCTTGTCTTGAATTCCTCATTATCTACCCAGTCATTTACATGGCCGTCGTGACATTTGTCTTATTGCGTTCTTTGAAAGAAAGGTCAACATTACACCCAGATTCTCCCCCCTCCCTCTTTGAAGGGTGACGTGTGGGGAGAGAAAGGGAAGCAAGCAAAGGACTTGGTAATAAGGTTTTAGGTTACTCAATCAAACTGCTAAGTAAGATCACTGAAACAGTTACATCAGAACATAGGAAGGCTTCAAGTGCAAGCTGGACAGATAAATGAACGGAAATAACCGGGAGAGTTGGATATGTACCTAGCATGTGCTGGTACACCTGTGTTGCTCGAAGGCAAGACTTGTCCACAAGAATGGGAAAAAAACAGAGCACTTGTGCTGCTGCTGCTCTCTCTCTCTCTCTCTCGCACACACACACACACACACACACACACACACACACACACACACACACACACACACACACACACACCTGGTAATCCCGTTGTCCTTGAGGTACTGGGCCCGTGCCTCTGGCTCCATCTCAGCCAGTCTCAGCTCCAAGGCCCCTGAGAATGGGATGAGGATGGCCCCGGAGTCGTTAGCGTCGATCCACTCCTTAATCTTCACCAGCCTGCACAAGAGAGAGTTGACCCAAGATGTATTATCACATTCCTTATTTTTAACGTACATATACTAACGTTTACTTACAATTATAATATTCATTCAAAAGACCTACGGGTCATTACAGCACCAGGGGAATATTGCGTAATTAAATCTGATCCAAGGAAGGGTAGCTCCAACTGCTTTGATCATGAGCCTTCACCAAGGTTCAGCTAAAGGACGTTTCAGCTAGGCCTATTTGTGATTCTGTTACTGAAGAGCTCTTGATTTAAGGATATGGAGCTATCTTACCTTTCCTCAGAATGAAGCTGATTACCTTGCATTCTGCAGATGCTAAGGGTCTTACGGATCTATTAATAATAATAATAATAATAATAATAATAATAATAATAATAATAAAAAAATACGATTTTCTACAAAATGTCTAAAACTGGCCAACATGCAACACTTCATTACATATAACAATATGTTATTAACATGAACGAGAGCTGCAATGTGTATTTCTTAATGTACGAACATAAGTATCTTTTTCTGCGTAACCTAGTAGGACAAAATACAAGTATTTAACTCTTAGAAAAATGTGTGTGTGTGTGTGTGTGTGTGTGTGTGTGTGTGTGTTAATTTGTTAATGTAAAAATTAACAATTTTGAACCAAAAGAACCTTAGAAAACTTACCAACTTTATTATAACAAGCGCAATTTAATTTAGCCTAATCCAACTAAATTTATTTTAGATAAGTTTACAATAATTTGATAACACAACAAAATACATTTTTTTCGTTAGGTTCAGAGTGATTTTTTGAAATTATTGCATACACAAATTTTCGCTTGCCCTATTCGGCAAGAAGAGCATTCCAATTTACGTCAAAATCGCAAGTTTTATCTATATGGCACGACATATATAATTTTACACCCCCGTCCCAACTCGTGGTCAACTAACAATACCCATGTCACCCGGCGCTCAAACGTATCAACAATGACACCATCACAACCACAACATCCGTGGCGTTATCTGGAAACGTTAATAAAAGTTTTTACATTTGTAAAACAATGCACACCGTGTCTTAATTTAGACACGTGTGGGTATGGTATACCTTTTGTAATACAAGAACGACCATACGCCAATCACTTGGGAACTTTAAAAAAAAGGCGCCCTATCGTATCACCTTCTGGCTATCTCTACCTTTCTTTCCCCCAGTTGTGACTTGACAGTGGTCCAGGATGGAGCGAAACGTCATCATAAGTGCGAGTTTTTAGTGAATTGTTACATCCACTGTATTTTTATTTTCTATTTTTTTAAGTATATAAGGAAATCTAAAAACGTGATACACAAGCAGGTAATAAAAGCCAGAGAGAATGACGAGAATGAGAAATATTATAATAAAAAAGAAGCGCTAAGCCACAAGGGCTATACAGCGCTGCAGAATGAGAAATAGTAATGGAGGAGAGAGAGAGAGAGAGAGAGAGAGAGAGAGAGAGAGAGAGAGAGAGAGAGAGAGAGAGAGAGAGAGAGAGAGAGAGAGAGAGAGAGAGAGAGAGAGAGAGAGGCGAAAACGAAGGATAGATAGATGAAACAGAGAAATGAAGAGGGAGAGTGGTACACACGTGTAAGAAAATTGTGAAAAATTTGAGGAATAACTATGAAGGAAGAATAACTGCAGACGATTGAGGAAATAAAGATGGAAACAATGAGGAAGAACAGTACTGGCACGAGACTAAAGATGAGACACGGAGCATAGTATATATAATGGTGAAAAGGTGGTGGCTAGTGAAAGTGAAGACGGAGGGAACGAAAACTGATGTGAGGATCATCAAGCAAGAGAAAAGAAAACGAAGTGTACAGAAATGGAGACACGAAGCAACATGCTCAACAGCACGCATGCTATATACACACACACAGTGTAGTAGTGGAGGCAGGCTCCATACACAGCTTTAAGAGGAGGTATGATAAAGCTCATGGAGCAGGGAGTGGACCGAGTAGTGTTACAAAAAAACGCGATTTCTAATAAGCATAAAGATCTCCAGTGAATACTAGAAAGGACTGCCCTTCTAGCATCCAGCCTGTTACTGGGTTTTCGTAACAAGTAGTCAGTATCCTGGTCCAATTATCCAGTAGAATTCAATAAGAATTATTAGTGCTTCAGGATTACAACTGGTAGGCTACTAACTAGAGAAATTAAAATTTAATAAATTTATTAATACTCAAGTCTAGAGGTATAAGATCAAAGTAAATTAAATTAATATAAACAAAATAAGAATAATCACTTCTCTCGTGTACAGTAGTATTGTGCTGAAGGCACATATCACATTTTTATGGCTTATAAGTACCGTCTGGTACATTGTTAACATTTAATAACCTAATACATATATATACAGGTGTCTGTATGTAAGTGCTCTAAGTAGTTCGCTATGTCTCAAGACTCGAATAGACTTAAACCAGTGACTGACAAAGTCCTCACATCAACTAACTTCTTGACCACCTGGCAATCAGAACAGCTTGCTTGAACAATAAAACGATTGCTAAGCCCAATAGCTATATAACAAGCAACTGTGACACAGAATCAGGATCAAGGAGATAATATAATGACACTAAGTAGGGACCATCTGCAGATCCTCCACAAAAGTCACAAAACTCCCATACTACTGAATCTAAGTTCAGCATAAGAAAATCCCCGACTGTGACAGTACACAGATACCATTACAAGTTAGGTCAGAAGCCACAGCTCAGAACCTGAGTTGCTCAGAGTGTCTATGCGACACACAACCTTGGTACAACGTCGAAAATCACTAAGTCTAGACAATGTTCTGTGAGCAGAGTTCTACAGAACCAACAACAAGAAAGCGACAGAGACGATCTTCCAACAAGGGCCTATAAGGAGACGATCTTCCAACAAGGGCCAATAAGGGAGAGTTAGGCACGTCTTGTCAGGAATACGTCCAACCACCAAGAGAGTCTAGCCCAGACTGACTACTCCAGGCGAGGTGTGAACACCCCCCTCGATCACGTGATAGCTCCGCGACTGTCTGGAGTTTTGAGACTCTGACCGCGGGTTCAATCCCGCCCGTGGTATGGTTTCTCTGTGGACTGTTGCTGCCCAGCAACACCGAGAAGCCGACAGGGAAACGAGCAATGAGCGATAATTACAGTAGTTAGACAATCAAGACTTGAACTATGAGCACTGAATAATAATATATGTTACATCCTACCTAACAATATAACTAAGTCAAATAATAATATAAAGCAATATATTTACGATTTAGCTATTATCGCAAATATAAGCAATATAAAATTATATGAAAAGGTAATATACATTATATACATTGTGACCCATTCAGGGGTCGCAACAGTAGTAACCAATGAAGAGGCGAAGCCAGGAGCTATGACTCGACCCCTGCAACCACAATTAGGTGAGTATGTACGTACACACACACCCTGGTAACTCAAGGGACGCAGCCAAATACCAAGTAATACCCCAAAAAATTCGACGTCAAGCTGCATAACGACCACGGGAAATAACACATGGGCCAGCGAGCTCCAAATATGCAAATCGTGTGCAAATGCTTAATGGTAGACGTACCATCGGCAGCAAATTGCAGAATTATAATTGCAGCAAATATCGAGAAAGAGCGTGGTGGACGGGTCGCATTATGGGGGAGGGGGGCATAGTTCGTGTGGAACATGGGAGGGGGTTAGGTGGATAGGGGGTGGTGAAGGGGGGGGGGGTAAGGCAGCGACACTGCACGCACCAATTATCCGGGCGACCGTCGCTCTCCAGTTGCCAAATACGCCCTATTTCCGAGCATTATCCAAAATTTATACTGCCATATACCTCTCCTGAATTTGATTGCTGGGTATTGAGCGTGCGGTCTTTTCCCTCCGTGACTGCAATCGTTCAAATGACAAGTAGTAGGCACGGAGACCCATAAAGTAGACGAAGAAAAAATGTCTGGGCTAGCAGCAAGGGTACAGTCGCATGAGAGTCCAGTCAAACTGTCGCGTCGGGCGGATCAGCCAATGGGATCTCCTCACACGCTCCGCCCTCCAGTCCTCTTGGCTAATCAACAACCAACCTCCCACCCACCAATCATATTCTTTCATATCTCTGATAATTACCCTGCTTGATAATTACCCCTGACGGGGAAAAAATACCCACTTTAACCTTCGTGCCTCAGCCCGAGTGAAGAATTCTGCCACGACCACTATTTGCCAACCAATCAGGCTTAGAGCAGTTAAAAATCTCTTGTGAGGAAAGTCACGTTACTAAGTAATACCCATAAGACTTTTGCCAAAAATCTACGTTAAGTACAAGAATTTCATTTTGATTCACATACCTTGTTTTTGTTGGTTTTCTAATTTGTAATCCAAAACTGTTTCAAAATCACTCAAGAAACACTTTCTACACTCCACACACACTTAGCGAAAAAATATATAATAAACAGTATTATCATATTTGTATTAAACTGTAGTTATTACACTCACTGCACTGCGACTTACAATTAAATATTCCAGTTTATATCACAAAACTAAAATGATCAATCTAAAAACAAGATAAACTGAGATAAACGTGACAGCACAAGTGATTTAACAGTACTATTAATGGCAAGATATCTCGTGTTGTTCTCATTATCCACACTTTCATTTCTCTGATCTTTACTGACTTTGTTTTACTGTATTCTCTAGATATATGTACTTGACGTCATTATTATTCTCGAGTCTTTTACCTGTTTAGAAAAAAACTTACAAGACTCATTAAGTTTCAAGATATGAAGGTACCAAGTTAAGTGAATTCATCTGCCGTTACTAATAAAAAACCTTCTGTAAACTGTGCCCAAGAGTATATACACAGTAAAGTATATATACACATGTACTTGAGAGTTTACTTTTGGTCTCTAGGGATTCAATATTCGTTATTTTAGCGTAAGATCAATGACTCGTGCAGATGATGGACCTCAAAAAAGTCACCTCATCCGCTGTTACTGAAGGATGCCTGAGGATGTTTTCGGGGGTCTA